TCCACATTTTCACTATGGTCATATAGTGAACGTGTTTTCTTTCTATGAATATTGATGCTAGTTGCTCTATCATTTAAGAAGGTACTGATGTGTCACATTTTTTTTTCTATAAACAAATCAGGTTTTGTACTTTCTTGGCAAAAAAGAATAAAAAACAAGGAAATACATAAGTTGGTTTTGGGAACCATGGTTATCATCTAAGCTATGTTTTGTTTTATTTTTATAGCTAGATGTGTCTAGTTTTATAATGTGTTATTCAAGTTTTTGATTATAAGACTCATCTTATAAGGAAAAAGAGATTAATTTATATAATTAAGGACATCAGCTAAGTCTTAGGGAAGCGAACTTTGTTTTCTTGAAGGTTTCTTCATTCACAATTTTCCAATTCTTTCATTCGGTGAGTAATAATAGAGTTTTCAGTTTTTCCCTAAACGTGATCTTTACTACAAGTCTCTAGATTGTAGATATAATATCCAAGAGGCAGGGCTGGTTCTGATATTTAAGGGCCCTAAATCAAAAAAAAAATTTATAAGGATTATAGATAGATTTTTAATTTAAAGGCGTTTTTGCAAAAAAAAAAAAAAATTCGGAGACCTATTTTTAATATTAAAAATTAGAAAATTAGAAAATTTTGGAACTTGAAGGCCCATGCCTCTTGTGCCTACCCTCAGGGCCGGCCCTGCCAAGACGGACAGTCGGACATGGTGTATTTGTTCGATGTAAAGGGTAGGTATTTCGGTTTATAATTTGGATTTGGTTTAGATTTGTACGGTTCGGTTTATTCAGTTTGATAAAATTCTAACCAAATTCAACCAAAAATAATATGGTTCGGTTTAATTTAGTTTGATTCGGTTTTAGTTCCGTTTAATTTTAATTTGGTTTTATAAAATCAGTTTACATAACATGAAACCAAATTCATAAAGTAAAAAAAAAAAGATTAAGGAAACAAATGAAAGAAGCCTATCAAACAAAATTTAATTAAACATATATGCCTTCTCTATTTCATTTTTAACAACTTTCTATTTACTAACTTTTTCACAACCATTCAAAAATTATTTAACCGCTATGTTTAAACGTGCACTACAAAAAAAAAGATGTTTTACATCATTTAAAAAGTATCAAAAACCTAAATGATATAATATTAAANCATTTATTAAGTAAATGATACAAAACATGTGACTTAACATCAATTGTAGTAATTGATATTATTTTTGAGGTGTTTAACATCGGTTTAATAATATTGATGCAAATCCAATTAATTTGTATCACTTAAAAAAAATCGACATATAAATATTGATTTACATTCCTTATTTAACCAACGTAATTTAAAAAAAAATTGTTTGTAAAATGATTTAAAAAATGATTTAAAAAAAATGATTGTAAAATTTGTGTCACTAAAAAATTGATGCTAACACATTTTTAATAAATTATTTGCTTACTTTTGTAAGTCCCACATTGATAATTAAAGGTGGAGGTAAGAAGATTCTAGTTTTATAATTACTAAACTCCCTCAATTATATATTGTTGTCAAAGTTCAACATTGACTTTGAATTTTGATAGCTTATTTAAAGGTAAATAAATATTTCCTTAAGTAAAAACATTTACGATTAGTTTTACATTATAATCTAATTATAACATTTTCGAAATTGATTTTTATTTAATTGATAAAACAATATCTGGCGTCAATTATTAAACCGATGTAAATATTAGTATCAATTTTTTAAATCGATGCAAATTAACATCAATTAATATAAATGATGAAAAATATTTGTATCGGTCTTTTTAATTGATGTTGTATCATTATTTTTAGAGTCGCTTACATAAATGATGCAAAATCTATTTACATCATTCATAGTTGATTTAAACAAACAAAATAAATGATGCTACACACATCTTTTCTTGTAGTGGTGGTGATCAATTAATCTGACCCTATATGTATATCAATTTAGATAATTGAAGAGCATAAATGTATTCGCTAAAACGATCGAATTGGAAACGAACGACAGCTTAACTCATGTTTTTAGTTCATTCAAGTTAGCATTCATAAATTAATTCACTATATAACGTTCACAAATTTAACCAGTATGTTTTTT